TGTCTTTGTGTGTGATTGCTTGTGTGTTCGACCCTTGCAGCTGGCTTGTCGGGGCCCACATGACGAGCTGTCTGGTGATCACGTGCGCCGAGAGGGTCGAAATTGGGCAGCGGTGGGAGGTTGCTCCTACTCCAGATTCCCGTTACAGTTCGCAAGATTATTGACGCAGTCAGGGGTCCCCAAGTCCTCTGGTGACATATTCTCAGATGGCTCGAAATCCCTGAGATGTCGCCAGACGGTCCGTTACTGGTCGCTTTCGGAAGCCACAGGGTCCAAAACCATTCGATCTTCCTGAATGATGTTGGGCTGGGCTGTCCTCGCGCGGCTTGAGGACATGTGGAAGCATGCCATCAAGGACATGATCTCAGAGCTTGTCGTGAAGACCAGAGGCCTCACAGCATTGTTGCGCAGATCGTCTAGCATGCACGCCCTCTTTGCAGGCAATGTGGCCTTGTGGGGGCATATGTAATCCAAGCTACGGCGATGAGCAAATCACAACGATTCGCAAGTTGGTGGAAGTGGTTGCGTTTGCGTGAGTCGTCGCGAATGTGATGGCGCGTGTAGTTAGAAACCGAACAAGCTAACGCATCGAACTGTGCCGCTGTCGTAGGGATGAGCTCGGTACATCCGATTCTCTCTTAGTCAGCTCTTCTCCAACTCACCCCTTTTACTCGGCCACTCCCTTCTCTCGTCAGCCCTTCTCGTCCACCCTCCCCTTCGCCCAATCCCCCTTCTCTCATCGGGCGACGAGATCTAGACTTAAGTCGGGCATGTCCCTCTACAGGAGGAATAGTTCAGAATGGTACAAACATGGTCTCGGGACGATATTTCTGGCTCTCTCGACTATGTTGGAGTATTTTTTGTTATTATGTTTTATCCGTAAGGGCTTCGCCCCATGCCGCAGGCCCCCTGTCTCGTATAATGGGAGATGCAGAAGCAAAATCATGAGGTCTGGGCGCCGCCGTGAAGCAGTTTCGGGACCTGTTTGTTTTTCGACCCTGACCCCGCCGATCTGCGTGAGGGGTGCCACCGAATTTCAGGAATGTTGCAAATGCAATTGTTTTTATTGACCCTGCACTGCGGATCTGCGTGATGGGTGCCACCGAATTTCAGAAATGTGGCACACCCCCTGTGTTTTTTGACCCTGGCCCCGCCGATTTGCTTGAGGGGTGCAACCGGATTTTAAAGAATGTTGCAAATCCTGTGTGTTTTTGGACCCTGGCCCCACCGATCTGCGTGAGGGGTGCCACCGAATTTCAGGAAAGTGGCAAATCCCGTGTGTTTTTGGACCCTGACCCCGCCGATCTGCGTGAGGGGTGCCACCGAATTTCAGGAATGTGGCAAATCCCATGTGTTTTTTGACCTTGACCCCGCCGATCTGCGTGAGGGGTGCCACTGAAGTGCAACAATGTATCAAATCCTTTGTGTTTTTGGACCCTGACCCTGCGGATCTGCGTGAGGGGTGTCAATTTTTATCCCCCCAGAAATTCCGAGAACCCTCCCAGGGCGTGGTAGTTCTGCTGGTTTGGGCTCCCCCCCCCGCGCGTTCATCAACAAGGAACATTAAGCAGCAAGAAGCAGAACTGTAACAGTGGAAACTGGAAGCTGCAACTGGTACAGGGAGCAGCACATTCCCGGCCTACAGCCTGGTGGCCCCGCAAGCGGGCCGGCGGATTTTTTCCGAGATCCGCCTTCAGGAGAACATGCCCGGCCTACATTTAGACATGTACGATAGGTTTGCGCGGCGATGGCGCGCCGGCGACGCCTTGCGAAGGCGTTCAAGGTTGAATTCTGCGACATGGAAGCACCGAGGGACACGGTGGCGCCACTGGACCCGACAGAATTCAACCACCTGAAACGATCGGGGTTTTATGATCGTTTTTCATTTCTCGTTTTGCCGATCGCTCCCCCCCCTCCCTCCCACATGGAGTAGATCTTGGCTGTTTTTGGCGCTTGCCTCGAGCAGGTGGAGTCCCTCCCCCATCGGACACGTTGTTACAAACAGTCGCACTAAGCAGAGGTCCGGAGCCAGACCCCCCCCCCTCCCCCATTGCGCCCAATGTCGAAACGCCGACTAAGAACACGCTCACCTTACTATATTCAAGGTTGAACGATCGACGCGGTGTCAAAAAAACCCTGCGCGCGCCGACGCCGCACGAACCTGCCGCGCAGTTCTATAAGGCGCACAGCCCCTGCCCAGGCCCACCCTGTGTTCAGGATCGGCGCGTGCACGTGCACGTACAGGGTCCGGCTTGAATAAGGAATACTTGCTGTTCAAAAAAGAAAACGATCGTTCCTTTGGTTTGCATGCGGTCCGCTACCTTTTTGGCGGCGAGTCCCCCTGGTGTTCTTCCGGGTTTCCTAAACTTATTTGCGAAAAAAGGGGACTCGTTCCTTAGTTTTCGTTCCTTAGGTCAGGTCGAAGAAGGGTAGACCCTCACACGCCCACCAAGTCCTTGGCATCGCTCGGGCGTGTGCCTGTCCTTCCCGGCGAGGGCCATCGTGGGGCATCTGGGGTCACATCGAGCAGAAACAACAAAAGACGCGCGCGAGACCGAGACGTGCACGGGGAGTGGACGTCCGAGCGATGGCGGGAGCCAGGGCCGAACGGAAAAGGTGATGTGGCGATTTCGTGGGCCGTGTTCGTTTCGAGTTCGTTTCGCGGCAAGGGCAGACTGAAGACAGAACGAGGGCAAACGAGAACAACACGAAAACCAGAAACACTGCTTACAGTCGGGGCCCTGAAGAAGGAACACTTTTCGTTGGGGAGGGGCTCCGCGTTCCTTAAGAGTTTCGCAGTTTGCCTCAGGCTTTCCTTATGTTTTCGACAGGAAATCGAAGGTTAACTTATGGAAAAAAAGGGGTCTCGCTCCTTCTTTAGGGTTTCCTTAGGTCAAGGCCCCGACTGTAGGTCCACAGCCCTGGCGGGAACCAGGGACGCACGCAATGACACGGACCCTGGGCCGGGGATGGGCCTGGGCAGGGGCGGTACACACTCACAGTTGGCGCCCCCGCGTGTCGGCACGTGAGTCCCTCCTCCTCCCTCCTCCTCCGCCTCGCCCTTCTCCTTCTCCTCCTCCTCCTCCTCCTCCTACCTCCTCCCTCCTCCTCCCTCCTCCTCCCTCCTCCCCTCCTCCTCCTCTCCTCCCTCCTCCCTCCTCCTCCTCCTCCTCCTCCTCCCTCCTCTCCTCCTCCCTCCTCCTCCTCCTCCCTCCGCGGCGCGCCCGAGGGGGGGGGAAGCGAGAGGGGGCGGGCCTTCTCAGAGGGCTCCAGAAGTCCCCCGGCCTTACTTCTGAGGAGGCCTCCAAGCCTTGCCCGAAGACAGAGAGAAAGCCGCTCAGTGGGCGCGAGGGCCTCCCGAGAAGCCCCGCCGCCTCCTGAGAAGGCCTTCTCCTCCTCACCTCCCCCCCGCCCGCCGCCGACCCCCCGTCCCCCGCACGCCCCCTCGGATCCCCACGCGCGTGCCACAGCGGCGCGAGGCCCCGGCCCCCCGGGCGGCCAGGTGTCCGCGCGCCTCTCGGGACCCCCCCTGCACCCCCCCACCCCGCCCCTGTTCCTGCCGCCGCTGCCCCCGGTGCGTGCTGTCCCGCGTCGTAATACCCCCAGGCCGCTGGCGAGGAGGGGGCGGAGGAGAGAGGAGGAGGAGGAGGAGGGAGGAGGAGGGAGGAGGAGGAGGGAGGAGGAGGGAGGAGGGAGGAGGAGGGAGGAGGAGGGAGGAGGGAGGAGGAGGAGGGGGGAGGAGGACGAGTTCGTGCTCGTTGGGTGCAGGGTTCCCTATGGGCTCTCCGCCGCCACGGCTGGATCCTCTTCGTCCCGGGGCATCGGGGTCCGGCGGTTCCTTTTTGTGAGGAAGGAGGAGGAATTATGGGAGGAGGGGGAGGAGGAGAGGAGGAGGAGGAGGAGGAGGAGGAGGAGGAGGACAAGCCAGGTGCGCTCGCGTCATATCTGACGTCCTACCCCTCCCTCCCATCCCTTACCATGGCGCTGATTTTCTCTATCCGCGGACGCGTGTCGTAGCGGACCTGTGGCTCCGCGCGCGCGTGCGTAGTGGGTGGTGGTGCACGTGCGTGCGTGCGTGCGTGTGTGCGTGGTTGTCGTGGTGGTGGTGGTGGTGGTGTGTGTGGTGGTGGTGGTGGTGGTGGTGGTGGTGGTGCTGGTGGTGCTGGTGCTGTGCTGCTGTGCTTTGCTGATGGTGCTGGTGCTGTGCTGGGTGCTGGTGCTGCTGGTGGTGCTGGTGCTGGTGCTGGTGGTGCTGGTGCTGGTGGTGGTGTTGTGTACGGTGCTGGTGCTGGTGGTGGTTGTGGTGGTGGTGTGGTGTGGTGGTGTTGGTGGTGGTGGTGGTGGTGGTGGTGGTGGCGGTGCGGCGGGGTGGTGGCGGGCGGATGGGCGCGCGAGAAAAAGGCCCGCGCTGGGGCGAGAACGCCATCCTGAACGACGGAGGCCAAACACCGATCCGAAAATGAGGCCCACGCTGCAGCGGTACCACGATTCGGAACGATTCGGGAGCAGAAATGAGGCCGGCGCCTCAACGAGAGCAGCATTTTGGGAAAAAATGACGCCGGCGCCTCAGCGAGGGTCGTTTCCCAGGATTTTTCGGGCATCCTTTGTGTAAGAAACAGTACGCGGAGGGTGCGCGGCTATCACCCGGACGCCATCAGGGGAAGGATTCGGGAGCAGAAATGAGGCCGGCGCCTCAAGGAGAGCAGCATTTTGGGAAAAAATGACGCCGGCGCGAGAGCAGCATTGTGAGAAAAAATGACGCCGGCGCCTCAGCGAGAGTCGTTTCCCGGGATTTTTCGGGCATCCTGTGTAAAAAAAACAGTACGCGGAGGGTGCGCGGCTACCACCCGGACGCCATCAGGGGAAGAGGGAGAGTATATTCATATTGAATAATTGTGGAGGAGGAGGAGGAGGAGGAGGAGGAGGAGGAGGAGGAGGAGGAGGAGGTCCGGCGGGCGCGGCTTCAATCTCCCGTGCTTCTCTCCCGGCGGCAAGGGGGCCGCACCTTCGTGGCCGAGAAGAACAACGGCAAGCAGGTTCACAGGAACCGCGCCTCATCTCATCCCTTTCATCATGCGCATCCTCAGCACCCGCTCCTTACATCCTTGGTCGTCGAAACAACGTAGCGACACATATCACAATATGATATATATATATATATGTATATATCTTGGAGTGGGTTTCAGAAAGCGGGATCGGTGCTTGTGTGTACTAGGGCCCGCAGCGGGGCAAAACAGAACCGTCGTGGTGCTTCCACGACGCCCAGATCTGAGGCCCCATCCTCCCCACCAGACCATGTCGCGTGGAGAAGAACACCGCGACGGACTGCTGTTGGCAATATTCTGCCTCCAGCGTCCTTTGCCTGGCCCCGGGACCGTCAGGACCAGACTCGGGGTGAGAATTTGTCCCGGGAGGGGAGTCCAGATCTCTGGGGCCCACGTTGCGAGAATATCGCGGCGTGCCAGAGCCCCCTCATGCCCCAGGGGGTTTCCCGAGCGGACTTAAGCTTCAGGCCCTGCGGCAGAGCACGGACAGGACGAAGGACGACGGACGAACAACACCGAGCTTGACATAGACGACCCTCGGACGCTTGACACGAACGGCAGGTCTGACCACCATCTCCTAATCTACATGGTTTGCGGACGACCCACGCAGGCTCCCCCCCCGCTAAGCACCATGTACGACATGATGGGTCAGATTCGATGTTTTGAACATTGGTTTTTGCACGCCGAGTCAACCACTAACGCACCAGCCGCCATTCCGGAAGTTCAAACGGACAAAGGGCTCAACACCTCAAGGTGGATGGCGAGGTTCGAAGTTCGAGGTCTTGGCAAACTCTTGGTCTTTTTGTTGACCTCTTCGTCGAGATGGCTGGATCCGCTTCGCGTAATTATTCGGCCCATCAGAAACAATCGCCAGAGGACTTGCCCTAACCGGGGAAGATTAGGAGCATACAGTGGAATTGAAGCTCGGACTCAACCTGAGTATGCGTACCCAAGAGTGGGATTCTTGAGACTGCCGCCGAATAATGAGAGGAGGAGGAGGAGGAGGAGGAGGACGCGGAAGAGAAAGAAGGAGGAAGGGGAGGAGAGATGAGGTTAAAGTTGGAGGTGGGCAGAGGCAGAGAAGCAAGAGCAGGAGCAGGAGTTTGATGGAGACGGAATGGGGGAACGACGACAACGACATCAACGAGAACGAAGAGGGAAGAGATGGACGACAACGACGACGACTGCAGGACTCAACCAGAAAGACATTCGTGGTTCTTCCGCTCTGAGAGCGTTTGGGAAGCCTCTTGGAGGCATTGTGGGGCCATCTTGGAAACTGCTGGGTCCTCTTGGAGCCATCTTGGGGTCATTCGGGGTGCCGTGGGTGCCTTCGTTGGGCCATCTTCGATGGCATCGGGGGGGTCCTTGAGTAGCACCGCCCCGTCAGAGCCCAGAAGACCGCGTATTGGAGCACTCTTGCTCGGGGTGCTCCTGGACCCTCGCATATTGGGCGTCCTTAGGGCCCTCTTGGACCTCTTCTGAGCCCACTCTTGGGGCCCTCCTGGGCGATGGTGGGAGCATATTGCGGCCTCGGATGCTCCTCGGAAGCGAGAAGTCTGGGGTGGACAGAACCCCCAACAGTGACACGTCGAGTAGTGATTTGTCCGTTTTCGGTTCTCGAGAGGGCGCCGTGGCCGTTAGTTTCCAGGCTTGCGCCCGCCAGGTTTGGGCCTCAGGTCGTTTTCACTAAACCACGTTTTACTAAAGGGGGGTCTGTCCATCCCCGAAGAAGGCCAGACGGCACACGGTGCGGTTGCTCTTCCGCTTCGGAGGGGTGCTCGCCTCTCGGGGGGGTCTCGTGGGCGTGCTCCGTGGCCAGTTGGGGCCGCCCTGGGGTGGTCGTGTGGGCCCTTCTGGAGGCGTGCTGGAGGACGTATCGAGCCATCTCGCGCCGTCCTTGCTCCTCCTCCTCCTCCTCCCCCTCCTCCCCCTCCCCCTCCCCCTCCTCCTCTTCCTCCTCCTCCTCCTCCTCCTCCTCCTCCCCCTCCTCCTCCTCCTCCTCCCCCTCCTCCCCCTCCTCCTCCTCCCCTCCTCCTCCTCCTCCTCCTCCTCCTCCTCCTCCTCCTCCTCCTCCTCCTCCTCCTCCTCCTCCCCTCCTCCCTCTCCTTCTCCTCCTCCTCCTCCTCCTCCTCCTCCTCCTCCTCCTCCTCCTCCCCTCCTCCTCCTCCTCCTCCTCCTCCTCCTCCTCCTCGAGCACGCAGCGTGGAGTAGGGAACCGCGGCTCGGCTTCCTTGCTTGCATGCTCATCTCTCTGAAGCCATCTTGGAGTCATCTTGCCGCAAAAGCCTACCACGGGTGCCTCCGATGTGCCAGGCTCTGCAAGGGCTCAAGCTGTCGTTCCATGGCGCTGGCTTTTGGCGGAGGGCGTTTGCGGAGTTGGCCATGCCTGTTCTGAAACCGAACAGTCTCGGGGCCGCGAACAGCGACAGGACTGGACAGACAACGACACTCGAAGGTGCATCATAACCGATGTGGCTTGATTCGGCTTTCTAGCACCTGAGCCTGGTTTGTCCGACATCCAGTCCCACAAGCTCCTCGCAGGAGTTTCCTCGCTACCATCAGGCTAGCCCTCCCTGGCTCCTCGCGATGGCGGTATGGGCCGATCCGGATCCGGTCGGACGTCTGTATACGTATGCTTATGCTAGGTGTGCGTCGCTTCCGCGGGGGCGAAGCGCACACTAACACACATTGTAGTGTAAGCTCCGCGGCGAGCGCAATTTGGTCATGCCGCTTGGATGACTAGCATCATGCCGCAGCATGTAAATACCACATGTTCTGGTCGGATCTGCACTTCCAGGAGGGGGGGGCATCGAGCGAGTTTCGAGAAGGCCTTGCGGCAGGCGCCGCCGGCCCTGAGGGGAATGGACTTGACCGCGACGACGATGACGACGACGACGAAGACGACGACAGCGTCTCACTCACGCCGACGGGCCGTCACAGTAAAGTATGTCTTTCTGCGCACCAGCGCATCTCTTGTCCGGTCGCACGACAGGAGGCACTTTTGGGCAAGCAGGAGCTTCGACACCCGCTGCACGCAGCTGGTCTGGTAACCCGCCATCGGGCGCCTCTCGTCAAGGGCGCCCTCGGGGGCGCGAAGTTCTTCGCGCGACTCCTGGCGCCCGCTCGTGGCCAGGACCTGCCAGCACCAGCATCGAGCGATCTTCGCTGTCATGAAGTTGCGGTCGCTCGAGGCTGAACGATCCTGCCAGAGACCAGCGCCAGAGCCTCCACGACGCGAGCCCTTCGGCGGGCCCGCATCGTGACGAGTTTGGCGCTAGCTTCTGTCGCCGCGTGGATCGGTCAACCTTGAACGATTGCGGTATTCCGAAAGCGCAGATCGTTCGATGTTGGACGAGTGGTCGCTGGCGGCGCTCAACCTCGAACGACAGCGGTGCGGTCGTCGGCGGGTCGACACACCAAGCGCTTGTCTTCGTCGCCCTCCACCCTCCTGCTCCTCTTATCCGGCCCGGTCCCTCCTCCATCCTCCTCTCATCCGGCCCGCTCCCTCCTGCTGCCCCCATCGTCGCCTTCCACCCTCCTCCTCCACCACTCTCCTCCTCCTCCTCGTCCTCCTCCTCCTCCTCCTCCTCCTCCTCCTCCCTCCTCCTCCTCCTCCTCCTCCTCCTCCTCCTCCTCCTCCTCCTCCTCCTCCTCCTTCCTCCTCCTCCTCCTTCCTCCTCCTCCTCCCTCCTCCCTCCTCCCTCCTCCTCCCTCCTCCCTCCTCCCTCCTCCCTCCTCCTCTCCTCTCCTCTTCCTTCCTCCTCATTCTCCTCCTCCTCCTCCTCCTCCTCCTCCTCCTCCTCCTCCTCCTCCTCCGCCTCCTCCTCCTCCTCCATCCTCATCCTCCCTCATTATCCTCCCTCCTCCTCCTTCCCTCCTCCTCCTCCTCCTCCTCCTCCTCCCCTCCTCCTCCTCCCTCCTCCTCTCCTCCTCCTGCTCCTCCCTCCGCCCTCCTCCACCTCGTCCGGCCCGCCCCCCCGCCCCCCCCCGGGGAGGCATAGGGCGAGGAGGCGGGCCCCTTGCTGCGGCGAGGATGGACCACCTCGCCTGCTTCGTGGGCGGCATGCTCATGCTGGGCAGCCGCACCCTGCCGACGGCCGAGGTGGACCCGTACTGGGCGGGGAGGGGCGGAGGGGCGTCGTCCACGGCGTCGTCGCCGCCGGCGGGAAAAGGGGCACGGACAAAAAAGTGGTGACGACAGCCGGCGGCGGTGCTTGACCCTTTGGAGCCAGGCTCGCTGTCGCTGTGGCCGCGGAGCTTCCTGGCCGCTTCCTCTTCCCCCTTCGTCACCGTCCCCTCCTTCTCCCCCCGCCTCCTTCTCCTACCTCCTCCTCCTCCTCCTCCCTCCTCCTCCTCCTCCTCCTCCTCCTCCTCCTCCTCCTCCCCTCCCACTCCTCCTCCCCCTTCTCCTCCCCTCCTCCTCCTCCTCCTCCTCCTCCTCCTCCTCCCTCCTTCCTCTTCCTTCTCGTTTTCCTCCTCCTTCTCTTCCTCCTCCTCCTCCTCCTCCCCTCCTCCTCCTCCTCCTCCTCCTCCTCCTCGTTGCCCCCCTCTTTCTGCTCCTCCCAGCTCCCTCCTCCCTTCCCGTGCCTCCCCCGGCGCCCCCTTCGTCGCCAGGCGCAGCGAAGGGTCAGGACGAGCACGGAGCACTGGAGCAAGCGAATGTGGTCACGGCTCAAGTCTTGCCCCTCCATGGAGGAGGAGGAGGAGGAGAGGAGGAGGAGGAGGAGAGGAGGAAGCGGAGGCGGAGGAGGAGGAGGAGGAGGCGGAGGAGGACCCTTCTCCCTCCTCGCCAGCCCTCTCCCCTCTCCTGCCCCCCCCCCTCGCCCCTCCCCCTCCCCACGTCGGCGACAAGGGAAGGGAAGAACGGCTGCGCACGGCGTGCCCGCGCGAGGGGGCCTGTGATCGGGTGGTGCCAGAAGTGCCCCTGGGCCCGAGGTGCCCTCCAGGATCCCCCAGGAGGCCCCCACGGCCTCCACGAGTTGCCCTCACGAGGCCGCGGGGGGCCCCAGGGGCTGCAAGAGGGAGCGCAGGGCTGGGGGGCACCTTGGGCCAGGGGGGCACCTGGAGCATCCCCCGGTGGGAGGAAACACTGGCTGCCGAGATCGGGGAGACGTGCTACGAGATGTACAGGCGCGCCCTCGCCGTCGTCGCTCGCCGCCGACGCAGGTCGCCACGAGATGTGCCTGCCCGCGCTCGCCGTCGTCGCTCGCCGCCGACGCAGGTTCATCTCGATCTCGTCGGTGCGATTCGATGTCGACCCCGGCCCGTGCAACCCGATGAGAATCCGCTGCTCCGACGATCCTGTGCGGCCGAGTGCTCGCAGTGCTTCGATGCGGAGGGGGAGGGGGAGGGAGAACGGCCAGTCATCTCGCACGCCTTCGCCCCCCCGACAAGGCGGGGGTCGGCGGATTTTGCTTGTTGAGTCTTGTCTAAGCCCTGCCTTCATCCTCTCGTCCGGCTCCTCTATCTCTCTCTCTCTCTCTCTCTCTCCTCTGGAGCGGCAGCTGCGCCCGCAGGCGCATGCCCACGGGCCTGTCGCCGGAGTACGTGCTGTTCAAGCCCGAAGCCAGTGGCCCTTCGGGGGGGGGGGGGCAGACTTCCAGAGGTCTCCACATTCTATTCGGGGGTGGACAGAACCCCAAACCCTGACACGTCGATTAGTGAATTGTCCGTTTTCGGTTCTCGAGAGGGCGCCGCGGCCGTCATTTTCCAGGCTTGCGCCCGCCAGGTTCCGGCTCGAGGTAAACCACGTTTTACGAAGGGGGTTCTGTCCATCCCCGATTTATCGGGGAAACGTAAGACTCTAGTACGTTGGAATTCGGGCTTGCCAACGCTATTTGACGAGCGCGTCCTGGATTTTGACGGTCCAGTTTTCGTGAGATGTTTGCAGCGGGAGCTCGCGTCAAATTTCAGATTTGGTCTCGTCATTTTCATGATGGCCCCGTCAGGCCAAACCGAGTCCCCCGAACCCGAGTCTTACGTATCCCCGAACATAGGCCTCGCAGATGGGGTCGGAGGACCGCGCCGCATCGCCGAGGCATCGGCGATGCGGCCCGATGGGGAGCCCGATTTTCTCTGCATCGGCGACGTCGCTGGTGCATCGACGATGCGTCGGTGATGCCTCGGCGATGCTGCGCAATCCTTGGAGCACTCCGACTGCATCCAGGAGGCCTCTACCGTCGAGTCCGCGCGGAGCTCCTGCATCTGCGCTGGCCCCGCCCCGGCGGCGCCCCTGGCGCCTCCCGAGTCCAGCCCCGATGCAGGAAGCCCGCGCGGACCTGCGACAGTCTGTGTGTGTGTGTGTGCGCGCGGCGTCTTCCGCCGTCTGAGCGGCCTCGGCCCTCCTCTCCCTCCCTTCTCCCCCTCCTCCTCCTCATCCTCCTCCTTCTTCTCCCTTCTCCCCCTCCCCCTCCCCCTCCTCCTCCTCCTCCTCCTCCTCCTCCTCCTCCTCCCTCCTCCTCCTCCTCCTCCTCCTCCTCCTCCTCCTCCTCCTCCTCCAGTCGCACCACGGCCCACAGGTGCCCCCGCGCGACTGAAGCCCCACACTCACTATCCGAACCCTAGCTCACTTCCCATGGTATGAGGTAAATCCAGGCTCTGCGGTGCCCGCAAGTAGATAGCTTTACTATCTGATATGGACATCGATGCAGATTGCAGCAGCTCCTCCCCCTCCTCCTCCTCCTCCTCCTCCCTCCTCCTCTCCTCCTCCTCCTCCTCCTCCTCTCTCCTCCTCCCTCCTCCTCCTCCTCCTCCTCCCTCCTCCTCCTCCTCCCCCCCCCCCCTTCCCTCCTGCATGGTGGCCGACTTCGCCGACCAGTGCCCCGTTGCGCTTTGCTCGCCCGCGTCGTCCCTCTGCCAAGAGATGCCTCGCCCGAGGGCCTCCGACGCTTTTCAGCCTCCTGGGAGGCCGCCCGCGGGGCCCCCAGGGCCACGGCAAGACGAACAGGGGCGAAGAGATATAGGGGAACGAAAAGTGGCATAACCAGGGAAACAGGGACGAAGAGATCTAGGGGAACAGGGACGAAGAGAGATGGGGAACGAAACGTGCACAAACAGGGGAACAGGGACGAAGAGATATCGGGGAGCAGGGACGAAGAGACGTAGGGGAACCAAAAGTGCACAAACAGGGGAACAGGGACGAAGAGATATCGGGGAACAGGGACGAAGAGAGATAGGGGAACGAAAAGTGGCATAAACAGGGGAACAGGGACGAAGAGATATCGGGGGACAGGGACGAAGAGATACAGGGGAACGAGGAGGATATACGAGGAGGGCCAGCCCACTGCCGGACCTGGAGATTCGACGCCCAGATCTCGCGGCGAATCTCCCCGCAGACCCCCGACGCCTCCGTGCTGATCGCCCTTGGAACTATCTCAGGGGAACAAAAGGTGTTATAAACATTAAAACTCGGAGGTCCGCGCGGATTTCTCGGATCGGCGCTGGACCCCCCTCCCTGGCGCGCGGAGCGCGCCAGTGGCGGCTGCGCCGCCCGGGGGCCCCAGCGCCGATCCGAGAAGACCGCGCGGACCTCCGAGTTTTTAATGTTTATGTCACTTTTTGTTCCCCTGATATAGTTCCAAGGGCGAACAGCACGGAGGCGTCGGGGGTCTGCGGGGAGATTCGCCGTGAGATCTGGGCGTCGAATCTCCAGGTCCGGCAGTGGGTCGGCCCTCCTCGTATGTCCTCTTCCTCCTCCAAATAGGCCAGCTCGCTCTGACGTGCCTTTTTTCCCCTCTGCGAGGACCATCGAGGAGCATCTTAGATCACCTTGCGCCAACACTCGCGCACGAAATGAAAAATGCACGGGGAATGGACGTCCGAGCGATGGCGAGTAGGTCAGCAGGCGGCGTTATGGTGGCTTGGCGCCAGCTGGCCGTCCTGGGGGCCCATGGAAGTCTCCCAGGACGCCCGGGTGTGCTCTTGTCGGCGTGTGGCCGCGGATCGGCTGCAGCCTCGTTTTTGCCTGCTGCCTCCTGCTCGTGCTCCCGGGGCTCGCCTCCACCACCTCCTCGCCCCCACCCCGTCCTCTACCCCCTCCTCTCCTCCCGCCTCCTCTCTCCCCCGCTTTCCTGCTCAGCCTGCCCAGTGTCAGCCCGCAGATGGGAGTAGTGGCCGCGTCCAGGCCAGCCTCGCCCACCGGTGCGCAGCCCCGTGCCGCCCTGTCGGGTGGGGCCTGGCCGGCTCTGGCGGCCGACGAGACGGCTCCGAGCGAGCCCGGCGGCGAGCGAGCGAGAGCCAACGGCGCGCAGCAGGCGGCCTCCCCAGGGCGCAGGTCGATCGTGTCGATCCCCTTCGATGTCCATTCCAGCCTGTCCGGCCCGGTCCGATTCCGGCAGCGCTTGACGATGCGACGCGGCCCGATGATGCCTGCACGGCGCGGTCGTGCATCCGGGCACAGCCGCTCGCATTAGACTCCGACTCCGTGCCGATGCAGCCCGAGGCGCTGCACATTCCGATTCGACCCGATTTTCCGACCCGACGTGGGTTGATTGTGCCATCGTGTAGGATGGCGACTAATCAATGACCGGGGGTCGTGTTGCGTCGGCGGCGCCCCGGAGGATGATTAGAAGAAACCGGCCGCGGGCTGGGAAACTGTTTGTTCAATTCCCTCCCCATGCCGTCCTCGGGCGCGCGCCTGGACAGCCGACGTAGAATGGTCGGTTTACGTAGAATATGAAGCCGACGTGAAATTGAGTTTTCATTGCAAAGCTTCAATTCAACGTGGATTGTGCATTTGAAGTAACATTCGAATCCGACATCAAATGAGCGTTAGACATAATGTCTGAAGCCGACGTGGAACGGGTATTGGACGTAAAAGTTGGAAGCCGACGTAGAATTGGCGTTTGACGGGAAATTTGAAGTCGACGTCGAATGATTTTTTAGCGTAACATTTGACGACAACGTGAATCAGTCTCGTCTTTTCCGCGGGCCGCCAGGGAATGCCCGCGAGCCAGTTTGGCCTTGTGTTTGCAGGAGGAGGGCCGCCCCGAGATCTTGACCTGAACGCTCTCAGGACAGGTCCATGGGTCAGTTCTGGTGGGGACGGATATGAAGTATAAGGTGGATGAAGACGAGTATTTTGTTGGGGGGAGGATGAGGAGGAGAAGGAGGGACATGAAGAGATGGGAAGCGGGAGGAGCAGGGAGGGAGCAGGCAGGAGGGGGAGGAGGGGGAGGAGGGAGGGTGTACCTATAATGTATAAGTCATACTCAGGACGCAGTTGTCTCAGGGGGGTATGGACAGGGGGTGGAGGAGGAAGGAAAGAGGAGGAAGAGGGAAGGTGGTCGGAGGGACCCACACCTCTGGCAGCGTGATGTTGAGCCCCCCCGGACCCAGACCTCCGCTTTCGCCCCGACGGGTTTCGTCCCTGAGCGTCGGTTGACGGACTCTGGGGGCCCAACTGGTTGCCGCGGCCGCGGCAGCGGTGGCCGCTACTGGCGTGCCTCGGAACCTGGGAGACCGCGTCCGGGCCCTGCGGCTCGTCTACGGACGCGGGCCCGGGTGAAGGACGTGGGGGCCTTCAGTTGCGTGGGCAGGCGTTCGGAAAGCGAGCGAGCGGGGGGTGGGCGCAATACATTTTTTTATATTTAAAAAAAAACCCAACCGCGCAAGACGTCGCTGCCTGGGCAGATATGACGGAGGACTTCTTGGATTTCTGCAAGTGAGCACGCCCGCCGCTTCCTGCTTGCACTGTAACTTGTTTTTCCCTCGCGCCCTATAACCCGAGTAAGCGATTAAGGAACCCCCCCACCCCCCCCCCCCTCTCCGGTGAAAGGATAACGCACCCGGCACCCGGAAGCGTTATCCTGGCACCAGGAGGGGGTACACCAGATTCGCATTCGTATTCTTATTCTCATTACAATTCTAATTGGGATGCCACCCGAGGCGGGGCGCTGGAATTATTTATTTTCCTTCCATTTGCGCGGTGCTAATAATATCGCTCGGCGAACCCCCCCCAAATAATTATTTAATTACGGCGCGGTGCTAATGATAACGCCGGGGGGTTCCTTAATTGCTTCTCCGGGTTATGGGCCCGCCCTCGTGCGAGCGGGGTGACTTGACTTGACTTGACAAAAACAAAAAAATCAGACCCCCCCGCGTTCGACGAGCGGCCGCCCCCCTCCCGTCCTCCCCGCGCTGCCGCAGACCTGCCGGGCGAGGGGCAGCGCGGCGCCGAGGCCGGAGGGCCCCCCTCGTTTTTTCTCGGGGAGGCGGCCGCCCTCTCCGCCTCGCCGCTGCGGCAGTTTCGGGGCGACGGCCGGCGGCGCGCAGGCGAGAACCCCCCAATTTGAAGTGCAGCCGCCTTTCTCTCAGGAGGGCAAGAAGTCAGAGCCCCAGATCATCAGGGGTAACTCGGGTCCAGGCTAACTCGGGTTCGCTTTTCGGGATTCCGAACCCGCGTTACCCCGGGCCCGAGTTACCCCGGATAACTCAGGCGTCCAGAGCCCCAGATCATCAGGGGTAACTCGGGTCCGGGCTAACTCGGGTTCGCTTTTCGGGATTCCGAACCCGCGTTAACCCGGACCCGAGTTACCCCGGATAACTCGGGCGCCCAAAGAAGCACACAGACACGATCAATCGTCGATGCCCCAGAAGGTGTTGGAACATCTGGGAAGTGGGGGGGGGTCAGACCACAGCCCCGAACCTGTGGGACAATATGGGGGATCCTGTTATTTGTGTGTGTATTTAATTGTGTGTCCCAGGGCCCATTCAAATTATTGACAAGCTCCTGGATCATAACCTTGTGGGACAGTCTGCGGCGAAACGCCCCGACCGTCCTAACGAACCGTCTGGTGGTGCGAAAGGGAGGAGTCAACCTCGAGAAGTCTTCCGTTTGGGGCCCCCCTGTTTCTGTCGGCAGGGAATAAAATTCGTCCTTATTCTTGCTGCTGCTCCTCCTCCTCCTGCTTCGCCTCCCCCTCGTAGTCGCAAGTAGTATTAGTCGTCGTAGTCGTAGTCGCCATCGTGGTCGTAAACCACGCTCGATGTTTAAGAAAACACAGTTTTGCAGCCAGAGTCTCGAAATTTCTTGTCCCAGACACACGGCTGAAGAAACCAACGGCGCTGGCCAGACCCTGGGGAATTTTCTTAAGCTTGATGCCTTCTTGGGGTCGTGTGGGCGCTCACTTGGGCCCCACTTGGATTCGGCTCGGGCCACACTTGGAGGGGGCTCGGGCCCCACTTGGGCCCCACTTGGATTCGGCTCGGGCCCCACTTGGGCCCCACTTGGATTCGGCTCGGGCCCCACTTGGAGGGGGCTCGGGCCCCACTTGGGCCCCACTTGGATTCGGCTCGGGCCCCACTTGGGCCCCACGGCTCGGAGGGGGCTCGGGCCCCACTTGGGCCCCACTTGGATTCGGGGCTCGGGGGCCCCACTTGGATTCGGCTCGGGCCCCACTTGGGCCCCACTTGGATTCGGCTCGGGCCCCACTTGGAGGGGGCCCCACTCGGGCCCCACTTGGGCCCCACTTGGATTCGGCTCGGGCCCCACTTGGAGGGGGCTCGGGCCCCACTTGGGCCCCACTTGGATTCGGCTCGGGCCCCACTTGGGCCCCACTTGGATTCGGCTCGGGCCCCACTTGGAGGGGGCTCGGGCCCCACTTGGGCTCCCACTTGGATTCGGCTCGGGCCCCACTTGGGCCCCACTTGGATTCGGCTCGGGCCCCACTTGGAGGCGGCTCGGGCCCCACTTGGGCCCCACTTGGATTCGGCTCGGGCCCCACTTGGGCCCCACTTGGATTCGGCTCGGGCCCCACTTGGAGGGGGCTCGGGCCCCACTTGGGCCCCACTTGGATTCGGCTCGGGCCCCACTTGGGCCCCACTTGGATTCGGCTCGGGCCCCACTTGGAGGGGGCTCGGGCCCCACTTGGACGGCTCGGGCCCACTTGGGCCCCACTTGGATTCGGCTCGGGCCCCACTTGGACCCCACTCGGGCCCCACTTGGATTTGGAGGGGGCTCGGGCCCCACTTGGGGCTCGGCCACTTGGGCCCCACTTGGGGCTCGGGCCCCACTTGGGCTCGGGCCCCACTTGGATTCGGCTCGGGCCCCACTTGGGTTGGGCTCGGGCCCACTTGGGCCCCACTTGGATTCGGCTCGGGCCCCACTTGGGCCCCACTTGGATCCGGCACAGGCCCCACTTGGAGGGGGCTCGGGCCCCACTTGGGCCCCACTTGGATTCGGCTCGGGCGCCACTTGGGCCCCACTTGGATTCGGCTCGGGCCCCACTTGGGTTGGGCTCGGGCCCCACTTGGATTCGGCTCGGGCCCCACTTGGGTTGGGCTCGGGCCCTCATTCATGCACATACCGAGCCTCCGGGCCAGACCCTCGATATTTCTTAATTATAATTAAGAAACCTGCCGGCGCGAGACCATGAATTTCTGAACCCATGATTTCTTAAACATTTCGCGTGGTGTAGTCGTCGTTGTCGTCGCCGTTGTTGTGTGGCGGGTGCCGCGGGTGAAGAATTATTTCCGCTATTGGTGGGGCCCCAGTCCGTCAATAAGGGCGTCGGAATGATAATGAGCTCCATCGTTGTCTGGGGAAGTGTTGAAAACTTCTTGGGGTTACGTAGCTACTTTATGGGACAGAGCAGGAGGAGGAGGAGGAGGAGGAGGAGGAGGCAGGAGGAGAGAGGAGGAGAAGGAGTGAGGAGGAGGACGAGGAGGACGAGGAGGACGGGGAGGACGAGGAGGAGGAGGAGGAGCAGGAGGAGCAGGAGGAGGGCCTGGAGGGCGAGAAGTGGGAGGATGGGGGAACTCGACACCTGCTCCCGCCAGGCTTGGGGTGGGTGGGACGGCGCAGGCGAGAAGGCGGACATGGTCACCCCGCAGGATGCCCCGCACAACCTCCTCCGGCCCGAAGCCATTGAGACGCTGTACTACCTCCACTACTACACCGGAGGAGGGGGGGCACAGTCCCACAGCTCCAGAGTTTTTGAACAAAAATCAAGACGGAGGGTTTGTCGCAGTGTTCCGCCCCTAGGGGCCCTCGCCGGGCCCCAGGACCGACAAAACACGATTCGTTCGGGATGAAAAACCGGACCCGGGGAATGGGTCGAGACTTCTGGGGACCTAGTACTTCAGAGCGTGGATTACCTACCCCGCTTTCGCTTCCAGGCAAAACCAACTCATACCACGCGCCTCCTCGTCAAGCGGCCTGACCAGCACAGGCTGCAATTTGGCATCGTTTGGTATCTCGTGGAAGCGAGGGTGGTCAAAAGCGAGGCAGGTTTGTTTTCCCCCTAGTATTGAAAAAATCACGACATCGGATCTCTGGGGTCCCAGAGCTCCTGGGAGGGAGGAGGGCCCAGACCTCGTCTCAAGCAAACGCCTGCTTGCTGCATCCCCTCGCTCCTCCCACGGCGGGCCCCCGTTTGGGGAAGCAGTTCGCACGCGTGGCATCTGGGGATGCCGTAGGGCCGTCAGGGGGGAGGAAGAGGGAGCGGAGGAGGAGGAGGAGGAGGAGGAGGAAGAGGAGGAGACAGAGGAGGAGAAAGAAGGAGGGCGGAGGACTTGGGGTTCTCTCGAGGCTTCCTGCGGGCCTCTTGGGGGATCTCGCCACCTGGATGGGGTCCTTGGTTGGGCCGTCTACTGACATCCTGGAGGCTTGCTGAGGGCTATATCAATCCACCTCGAGACATATTGCGCCATCTTCGAGGATCATCGAATGGTGGCAATTTCGGAGCCACCTTCGCCCAACAGCCTCCCAAAGACATCCGTAAGGGCTTCGCCCCCTGCCGCAGGCCCCCTCTCTACCATAATACCATAATGGGATATGTCAGAGTCGCGTCGTTGCGTCTCGGCGCTGCCTTGGCGCATCTGGGAGCATCATGCAGGGGCGGATGGGAATCATCCGCGCATATTGAGACGTTGGCGTTGTCCTAGTGGCCTTCGGCCCATCCCGCCACCGTGCCTGGGTTGGGGTTCTGAGGCCTCTTGTATATGTGGGGCGTCGTGGGGAGCCTTTTCGGAGCCCTCTTGGAGACGGTTTGGGCGCCTCTTGGGGGCCTCTTGCAGCGTCGCGGAGTATCTTTTGGGCCTCTTGGAGGCCTCTTGGGCGCGTCTCGGGCACCTCTTGGGGCCTCTTGGGGCCTCTTGGCGGCCTCTTGGGCCCTCCCAGGGGCTTCTCGGGGCTTCTTGGAGCGCTTCTTGGGCCATCTAGGAGCCCTCTTGGGCCGTCTTGGGTCCCTCTTGGAATTGGTTTGGGCTGTCTTGGGGCGGTCTTAGGAGCTTCTTGAGCCGTCTTGGAGCGTCGGTCGGCCGAAAATGCAAGAAAGCCAACTTCCTTCAAACTCCTTGACAACATCGTCCGTAGGCGGTTTGGCTCAAGTTTTGGGACCCGTGCTTTTTGACTTGGAGTGTTAGACAGGCTGACTTTCCGCACGAGCTAGGTGCCAAGCCTATCTCTCCAACGATCGTGCCAGACTTATCTGGTATTGTCCACCAAGTGGAGCTTATTTGCATTGTGGCCTGCGCCACTATGATGCTTGGCCGCCTGACTTGGCAGTCGTGGACCGAGGGCGCCTCGAGGTCTTTGTTTCACGGTTACTATGCTCGAATGTTCGCGTTCTTTACAGTCGTCAGGGTGGTCGCTCGTGGGAAAGACGGCATTCGATCTGTTCACAAGCGCAAGCAGTCCATCAGGCTTGCCATGTCACGGATAAGCTGCCAGTTATTCAATCGTTTCGCTCATTCCGCCGGCCCATGTTGCGTGATCCGTACTGCTTCGCCGTGGGCCTGGGGCCACTGTGGCGCCGCCGAGGAGGAAGAAGATGAGGATGGGGAAGGGGATGGGAGGAGGAGGAGAGGATGAGAAGGAGAGGAGGAGGATGAAGATAAGTAGGAGGAGGAGGAGGAGGAAGAGGAAGGGGCGGAGGAGAAAGCCTCTCGTTGGCATCTTGTGTTGCTCTTGGGGCCAACAGGGCCGTCGTCAAGATGCTTCTTTGGGAGGCCTCTTGGGGTCTTTTGAGAAGCCGGTCGGGGGCGCCTGGGAGGCATTTTTGAAGCCTTCTGGGGGGCCTCCTGGGGGCCTCCTGGGGGCCTCTTGGGGGCCTCTTGGCGGCATCTTGGGGCCTCTTGGGGGCCTCTCGGGGCCTCCTGGGGCGGAAGGCGCGAGGTTTCGGTTCGTGGTCCCCCTCTTGGGGCCATCCTGGGGTCGTCTTTGGCCGTCTTGGGCGCCTCTTGGGCCGTCTCGGGGCTCTTTTGGGCCCTCTTGGGGCCCTCTTGGAAGCCTCTTGGCCCGTCTTCGGGCGCTCTTGGGGGCCTCTTGGGCCGTCTTGGAGCATTGGATGGCCGAAAAGGGGACAAGGCCCAAATCCTTCCAAAACCACCGTAAAATTTGTGATTTTGGCCTCTCGGGGCCCTCCTGTGAGGCCTCTTGGAGGCCACTTGGAGGCGTCTTGGGCCGTCTTGGGGTCATCATCGGCGTCTTGGAGCGCTCTTTGGTTTTTCGGGGGCCCTTTGGGCAGTCTTGGGGGCCTCTTGGGTCCTCTTGGCGCGCTCTGGGGGGCCTGAGAACCCACACCCAGGACTTTAAACGGAGAAGGTTAAAGGCGAGGTATAAATCGAGCATGTACCGCTGCCGTGCCTGGCTCAAGCCGGGCCCGGCCAAATATATGACTGTGCCTCACCGAGGCGCACAACTTGTATCTGAGATCGGAAAATACCTTTTCCATTGAAGATGCCCCTTCTATCCTTTACTCCAGATCCCATGCTTCGTCTCGCTCTCTTGCTCATGCGATATGAGCCAAAGCCTGGGATATGGCAACGCTTGAAGCGTAACACATACCTAAGCTTACCAGCATGTTTTCGACTTGGTAGCGGAGCTGGCTACACTCTCGTGTGGCTGGCTCTCGCTCTGATTCCTGTAATCCACGGCACAACTTGGTGGACTACTACTACGGTGGAATACCATGTTGCGCCGGCTCTGCGAGGAGCGGAGCCAGTCCGCGATCGAGCTAGCGGGGCAACCCGCGAACTCGAGACGCTCTCTCCTACTTCACTGCGCTACTTCACTCTCGACTTCCACCAGCTGCCAATCGGCAACTCGATCGAGAACGTGGTCACCCTGCGGGGCTACCCGCAGCGGGGCCACCTGCATCCCGTGCCAGTCAGGCGCCTCACGGCTACTACGCCAGAGCCTGACAAACCACAGCCTAAACCAATCACCGAAGCCGAAATGCACATGCACTGGATTAAGATAACTATCTTCGGCATTCTGTGGGTAATAATGGGATGTGCTGTGGGATACATGCGGCAGGGGATGGACGACACGCGTACTACTGGCCCTTCATGGGACCCTGCCGGTACTACGCCTTTTCGCGAATACGTTCGCGAAGTACATGCATGGATAAACGTAACGAGCGGCAATATGACGCCACCACAACAAGCTGCAGCACTACAACGAGGCCTTCAAGGTCTTGCTCGTCGTATCGCCATGCAGGTCCCCTCCCAGATCATCAACTATGGTGTAACTGTCAATGGACAGCCAACGGATGCAGTCACATATATACTGTACCTACTGAGCACCAAATTTGAAAATCTGGAAGATGAGCGCCAGCTCAACTCTGGCACTGCCCTTATCGACTTTCGCGTCGAAAGGGGCGAGCGAATCGACTCAGTGTTAGCTCGATTCGAGATGGCCCGTGACGAGGCTAACTCTGTTGGCTTTGTCATCCCCAACTTTCAGATCCTAACGCTGATTCTTTTCAGAGCGTTAGGCGTTGGCGCGTCACGAGCCCAACACCTGCTGGAGCCTTTTAATCATCAGATGCCCAGAACACAAGCAGACTATGACAGGCTGCTGACCAGGATGAGGAACTACGGACATGTTGCCGAGCGCTCTCCTGGCAACATTGCGGGTATCTTCGCAGGGCACCACTCACATGCAGGTGTCTACGCCACGACTGCGGGGTCACCCGCTGGTCCTGGCGAGCCAAGTCCCTGGGCTGACCCAGCCGATATGCCCAACGAGGCCACTGCCTTCTTAGGGCAGACCGGCCAGGCATCGGCAGAGGCAGCTGAGGCGAACGCCTGGTCGAACTACTCGCCAGGCGCCGCCTACACTGCAAGCCCGCCCTCGGGCACAACCCTCTGGGGCCAAGCGGAGTCATCCGCTCAAGGGTCTCAGCCACCCTCACCGTTTGAATCTGGCACTGACACAGACACCTCATCTGACGATGAGCACAATGGCATAGTCTCTGCTGGTAATGACTATCCAGCGGATGACACTCACCTTTCTGAACAACAAAGAGCGGAAGCCGCTTTTATGGCTTATCGCAAATCAAAACGCCGTTGGAGGCGCTTTATGAAGAAACCAGTCAGAAAAGTGAGACGTGCAGTACGCCGACATTTCAAACGATATGGAAAGGGTCGCGGCAAAGGGGGTCGCAGACGCCGTATGCATGGTAGGGGTATTACTGCTTTCCTCACGTCCTTAACTGATATAGTCTTTGAGGAAGTTCTTATCGGAGGCAAAGGTCGGGGTCGCAGGCGGACCTCCGGTAAGGGAAAAGGGCGGAGGGGCAACCCTAGGGACGCTTCTGGCAATACTATGAAGTGTCATACATGCGGCAGCACAGAGCACTTGCGCGATCAATGCCCGAAAGGGAAAGGAAAGGGATCCGTACATTTGGCTCAAAATTCTTTTATGGATGACATAGACTACATTGACTACGAGTTTTACGTCAATCCAGAAGCGGCTCCCGCCGCGGGCTCCTCCACGTACTACGTGATGGCCCGCTACGCTGAAGTGACCGTAGCCCTGGAAGACTACGCAGTGACCCTCTTCGACGAGTTCCACGGCTGGGACGAAGTCGACGAGGTCGCGTTCAATGCTTGGTTCGGTCTTCCAGCGGGGCCACCCGCCGACGACGAGATCTCCGAAGCTGAGACCGTCCCGGC